CTGCTACCTGCGATGGCACATGACTGGTATGTGGCCATCTATAAGCCTCAGCTTTATACTGCCATCATGATTGAGATCATGTTTGAGATGCTCTGCTGAACTTTGGTGAAATGTTCGTACTTCTGGGTCTGAACTCTTTGGTACACACCGGTGTCTTCCTAAAACTATCATTTTTCCTCTTGAAATGTGGTGAAGCATATCTTTTGTGATAACAGCCCTCTCTTCCCTCCAGGAGGGAAGATTTCAATTGGATGTCAGGGGAATCTCTTTACAGAGAGAGTGGTAAGTTGCTGGAACAGCCTGCCCAGAGAGGTTGTGGATACTCTGTCCCTGGAGGTGTTCAAGTCCAGGTTGGATGGGGCCCGTGGCAGCCTGATCTACTACCAGATCTGAAGGTGGGTGGCCTTGCCTGTGGCAGGGATGATGGGACTTGGTGATCCCTGGGGTCCTTCCAACCCAAGCCATTCTGAGAGTCTGGGATTCTATGATTCTGTGACTCTTTCAGATTTCTTCTTCCAGTACTGCTCTCGATGAGTTGCTGGTTTTCATTTCCGGCAGTTTGTTTGTAATGAACAGCATCATTTGCACCTCATCTCATATATTTTCATTGTTCTGACTGTGCTGTGGATCCACTCCAAGGAGAGCAAACACAAGGCCTTTTCCACATTCACCTCTCACCTGATGGTGGTCTCTTTGTTGCATGGAACCTTTATCTTCATGTACTTGTGAGCTGTCAAGAGCTTCTCTCAGGACACAGACAAAATCACTGGGGTGATCCCTATGCTGAACTGCTGAACCCCCTCATCTACAGCTGGAGAAACAAGGAGGTAAAAGATGTGGAAGTCAATGAGCCTACAGTGTGGATTTCAACTGGAGGATTTGTAAGGTCCCTTCTAACCCATCCAAAAGGCAAGGAATTTTCTCTTTCAAAGCAGTTGAAGTCTAAACTCTAACCTCTAAACTCTGTCTCTACACAGTTTATCTGAAAAACTTAAAATTGCTGATTACATCAAGCTGTATTTATTGACCAGGTTCAAAGAGAACCAGTGATATGAAAGCTGACTCTTTGCATTTCCTGCTGCTCAGGTTCAGGCCATTAGGGTCAGGAAAGCAATCCATAAACACCTACAGAACAGCATCAAGGGAAATGATCAGGCCCTTGGAACACTGAATTACAGAGGGCACAAGCTCCAGCTCCCAGAAACACACTGCGGATCTCTCCATTAAAATAAAAATTTTCTTTGCACACTGACTTTAACTCATTCCTAAAATCAGTGCAAGAAACTCGAGATCTGAAGAGGGCTTAAGGCTGAGTGAAACAATGGAGACTCAAGACAGGTAGATTTTTGAACTGCAAGAACTGATAGAGTTCAGTGACCAATTACCTACGAAATTATTTCTTAGTGTAATAAGCCTGGAAAGTTGCATCAGATCACTCCAGCCTGGCATTCAGAAGGTAAGTGGGAAGATAAGCATTCAAGACAACAAGCAAAAATTAAAAATTGTTTGAAGTTGAAAGAGATATACTTCAGGTCCATAGTTACCTAATTCCATCAGTCTGAATCTGGGCTCTAGAGAAGTCAGTCTAAGGTAAGAAACTGCAGTGTAGATGCTCATTAGAAATGCATGATGCTAGGTGTGTTGGCTGCCAATTCTCAATGTGCTTCTAAGAAGATCCAAGTTGCTATATTGCGCACAGCTCTCTCTACTTTCACACTTCTTTCTCTTCAGTTCTTAGCTTTGCTCTGACACCAGGAGACAGAAGCTCATTGAACTACAACCAGCAGCTCATTGAGTGTGACCAAATAAATTTGTGAATTTAATCTTAATTTAGGATGGGTCAAGTTGCATGACCAGGTATTATTACAAGGTCATGCATTCTCTTTCAGTTATCCAAACACAACACAACATCTGTATGAAAAATAAGTAACCAGAGCAATGAGCCCTCGCATTACAGGGCATCCAGCATGAGTTCTTATATAGGTTGAACACTGAGTCCACCCAAAGGACATACCAACCAGAAAGAACAGCACTCTCAATGACCATGCTCTACAAGATATGCAGCTGCACAAGTGAGGGGATGAGAGTGCAGACTGACTGAGAAGTGACCAGTACCAGGTTAATAGACCTAAATGTCTGTGTTCCTGTGTGTTCCACTGATTTTCCAGTGTCCTACAAACATACATATTCCTAAGTCATCCTTCCCTGTTGGGAAACAGCTCTGGGAACAAGGAGGCCATGAGGAGTTGTATGAGCACAGCCTGTATAGCAGTACAGATTGTATACCCATGGAAAAATACTAGAGACTAACAGGTCACAATGTTTCTGTGAGCAGGAGGGAGTAGCCCCAAAAAGGAACTTGGTTTAAGGGAGTTGACAAAAACAGATAGCATGTAGTTAGATTCTTCTCTGCCTAGAAACGGCTGTTGTCCATCAATAGCAAGGCAACATGATAGCTAAAGCTAGCTATTAAAGCTCTGTGTAACTGTTAATAAACTGAAGCTGGATCACTCATATTGAGTCCTGTCGTGCTTCCTGCTCGGGTAGCGATCACATTACTGTTTTAGCTCCGCAGCAGGTGGTGCCTGAACAGGGACTGGCGATCAACTCAGCACCAAGCGTGCAGACAGAAGCACCAGTGTTGCAGCGGCGAGCTGGGGAGCATAGCTGCCTAGACCGACCGAGAGGGGTCTGCACAGATCCAGAGGACAAAGAGTGACACTCCAATAGTCTCAAGTGGGTGCTGTGAGAGCGGTGGGATGGGGGTTGCAGTGCACCGCGGAAAGAGAGGTAGCCCTAAATTTATTACAGTTCTTCTTAAAGAAGCAAGGGGTGGATACGGGTACTGTTAAGCAAGTGCCGGGATTACTAGCCTTTGGTAAGGCAGAGGGTTTGTTTGTACATTCAGGGACATTCTTTGAGGATGAAGAGTGGCGCACGTTTGGTGATAAGAAGAATAAATTAGAACGGTTGATAGCTGTTTCTGCTTCCCATCAGCTAGTGGGATCATCTGAAGATGCTGGTCGGCTGAAGCCGGAGGGGGATTATGTCTCTATACCCGACATGATGAGGTGTGCGCACATGGGGATAGCAGCTCATGTTATGGCTTCTGTGCAGCAAGTAGTGAGTATGCTGAAGCTGCTGGGAAAGCAGGCAGGGGTTTCGCTGTTGTCAAAAGCCCAAATGGCGCTGATTAATTGGGTTCAATGCTGTGGTTACGGGAGTACTCCTGCAGAGTGCTTATCCCATACGAATTTAGATAAGGTGGCAGAGGAGTTGTGGGAGTAGGTTAAGTTGGGACTGAAGGGAGCTACCTTGGGAAGCTTAGAAAGAGCTCTGAAAGCAGTGGAAACAGAGGAGCGGTGTTGGAGGATGACTTGGGAATTAGTGTCAGGTCAGCTTGAGAAGGAAGGCGAAGAATCAGAGAAGAAGCCTACAAAGGGGGGTGTGGAGCCTGCGAAGGGGGGGCAGAAGGATGCTGCAGAAGTTCAACAGAGCAGCAAGCCAGAGTCAGAGGCTGAGCAACAGGAGGAGGAGTTGGGAATGGATTCATCTAGAAGGAGTGGCAGGGCCAGGGGTGTCTTGTCGGGAGCAGAGAATGATGTGTCTTGGGCAGCACCTGTGTGGCCTCCTGCAGCGTCTAATTGGAGGGCTACTGGGGCCACACCTGTGTTCTCATAAGTTCCTGGAACAGTGTCTATGCCCACCGCTGGTTCAGTAATGGCACCCACGGCCCCTCCCCTGTATGATAGCAGGAAGAAAACCTTCTACACCTGTGCCTCTCACCTGACATCCATCACCATTTTCTTTGGATCCCTTACTTTTAGCTACATCCATTCCAGCTCCAGGTACTTATTAGAGCAGAAGAAAGCACCAGCAGTCTTCTGCATGCTCCTGGTCCCCATGCTGAACCTCTTGATTGATAGCCTGAGAAACAAGGAGGTGAGGAGCAGCTTCAGAGGGACATCTAAGGTAAGAGAGCTTTTCCACTAATCACTGCCAGCACCTTGCAAAATGCAAAGACAAAGCTGAGAGAAAGGACCGTGGTTCTAAATCTCAGAGTTGAATAGGAACATGTAAATGGTATGCATAGTATTATCATGTATACTTTTCTTTTGTGGTATGCCAGTGCTATTCAACTAAAGCTGTGGTTTTGTACTGTGTTGTCATTCATACTGTGAATTGAAATGAATGTATTAAAAAGGTCACAAACCCTTGTTGTAAAATAATTGCTATTAAAAAGTTGGCTGTGTACATTTGTACTTTTTGTGGAAAGCTTAATGGTTTTCATAGGAATAGCTGAAAGTGCATTGTGTTGAAGAAGGTCTCATCCATGCACTGAAGTGTTCTACCTTCATGTGAAATCCAGCCAATGTTATCTGCCAATGTTATTAGCAATCTATAGGAATTCCAGTGCAATGAGGCATGCTGGCCAGAGAGAACACTCAGTTGGAACAAATGTGCACATAAAACATTTATTTCAAATGTTTCTGCTGATTTCCAGCTCAGTCCCTGGAACACCGGTCACACTTTTGAGAACAAGCACTGTCGGGTCTCGCACATTGTGAGCTCCCACCCGAGGGGACACTTGCCTGTTTCCCAACGCTGGTGCTTTCTTATGTTTTTTGTGTTTTTTTGTTTGTTTGTTTTTGTTTGTTTTTTTTTTTCCCCATATTTCCCATTTCCCACCCCACAAATCTGTACAGTAAGTTGCTATGACGTCATAGAACAGAACCAGCCGCCCCCTTCCTCCCCCCCAAGGTGGGCAGCCTCTCAGCGCCGCTCCGACGGGAGCTGAAGCTCCCCTGCCGCCCCGCTCCCCCGGCAGCAGCCAGCGTGAAACTACACCCCCCAGTATGCTTCGCGCCCCGCTGTGCCCACTGGGAGCGGACGCCCTGACCTATTGCCGCGGAGCATACTGGTACGTGTAGTCAATGTCCCCGACTCCTACTGGCCTTGAGCGGCGCGAGCCGGTAAGGAAGGACTCCGTTTCCCGGCAGGCAACGCGAGCCCAGCAGGGGGCACGGGCAGAAGCCGCTCGACGACGAAATGGCGGTCGATAAGGACCTGCTGGAGTTGGATCTGTACGGCCTGCTGGGGGTCGGCGAGAAGGTGTCGGAGAAGGAGGTCAGAGCTGTATTGCCTCATTTTACCCTTCCTTTTTCTCACCTCAAACCTGTGGGGATGGATCTTGGCTTGGGAAGGGTGACATCAGTTGAACTGACCTGCGAAAGTGTTCTCAGCCATTTCCTTCATTAGCCCTCGGAGCTCCGCAGTGTTTAGCAGAAATCCAATGACTAGAGAGCGATTTAGGTACCTAGCATCATAAGTCATCGCGTTAATTTTGTGGGTTTGGAATAGCGTCTTTATATTTTCTCTTTAACTTAATAGTTAGGTCGATGGTAATTGCCGCAATGACTGACAGGACTGAACTGGGAAAGTGGTCCGGTGGAGGGGAAGAAGGCTCTAGCACCTGAACGTGGTTAAAATAACGATTTTCTTTCCCCCACTTCAGCTTTTTCTTTGTTCTTTCAAGTGCAGCAGGTAAATCGTGGAAACCAGAGACAGTGTGTAACAGCAAATGTGTTGCCTTGATGTAAGCACGTCAGATACAGTTCACAGGGCTCAGTGAGGTGAAGGACTTTGCTGTTGATTCCTGGGATGAGAAAAAGGATGAGGAAGTGGTGAAGTGGGTGTTACAGAGTGACTTAAATTGACAAGTGTTGTGTAGAGTGCAGTCCTTGATGTAAAATACTTGAAGCAATGCAAAGCCCCACTGGTATTCAGAGGTACTTTGCCAGAAGAGACAAAGAAAGGGAAGCAAGGGTTACTCCAGTAACTGTTTATATGGCATGTTGAAGAGATGTAACTCTTCTTTACTGGGGTCTTGCTTATGGAAGAGATGGGATGATGTCTGCTAGGCTTCAGCTGCATTTTCCTTTCATCTGTTTTATCCGCCAGGTGGTGCTCAGCCACCACTTATTCCATCCCATCTGAAAATTGTTTGGCATGCATTTTCTTGCAGGTAGATGTTCCGCTGAGGAGGGAAACTCATTATAAAAACTTTACTAGTGACTTAGTCCATAAAGTTGTAATCTTTTTCTCTGAAGTGTAGAAGTGATTAAACAGTCTTTGGTCAAAAGACTTCACCTTGCCAAGTTCAGTTGTTGCACAGTGGACTATATTACCTCCTTCTCAAATAATTGTAAAGAGTAGAGCATCTCTTTGGCTAGGAAATTGCCAAAGTTTCTGAACTGGACTCCACTTTGATCATGTATTATATCGCTATAATACAGTGTACCTTGAAGTAAAACTTCAAGCTTCAAAAAGCTCATTTAAAATGTGGCTACCTGTCTACTGTGTGTCCTAGGCTCAGATGCTTATCCTTATAGAACAGTGTGATTAAAAAGGGCAGGTTGCTTCACTGAGTAGACTAGTGGAAGATATTCTAACATGGTGTACTAATAGTGCTGTGAGCACTCTAGAAGTGGACTTTTCTATCAGGCATGGGGAGTATGCAGTAACATAAGTGAATGTTGGTTCAACCAAGCCTTCTGCTTGTGAGAGATGTGGTTTAAACTAAACAAAACAAAGGACGACAAAAACAAACATCCACGACTGAGTTGTAACTTTCTTGTTCCTATAGTGTTACTTTTTTTTTTTTTAAATTTTCTTTTTTTTTTTTTTTTTTTTTTTACCAAGTTGCATTTGTCAGCATGGACTAAATGAAAGCAACAACTGACAGATCTCTGGCTCTTGTAGATTAAGAAAGCGTACCGCCAGAAGGCCCTGACTTGTCACCCAGATAAGAACCCAGATAATCCCCAAGCAGGTGAGATAGAACTGTATGGCTGCAAGCTACTCTTGTCTGTATGTGTGAAAACAAACTCCTGGAAGTGTCTCTGCTTAATTTCAGGTCTGTCTTTATGCAATTAAGAGAATGCCTAGATTTGTGTCACGTGACGTACACATATGCAAAGAACAGAGGTGGTAACTGGAAGGACGTTGTTCCTCAATGACTTCTCAAAATATTATTCTGTGTCTTTCATGTTCCAGATTGATAGGCTGCGCTCTTAAAGATTGAAGTTTTGTAGCTGTGGTATGGGAATTGTCACTATGAATAAAAAAGATCTTTAGCAGAAATAGGAATAGAGCTGGAGGTTTTGATGTATGCAGAAGGCTGGGAGGTGGTCTGAAGTGTATGAAGAGGCCTCCAGCTCATATGTGTATCCCTCAAGCAAGTGGTTCAGCAAAACTGATGTAAAAGGGGAGTTTTGTAGCTCAGGCTAAAAAGCTGTTAATGAGATGGAGAAGTTGGTTTTCTTTTTTTTTTTTTTTTTTTTTTTGTAACACTCAGACTAACTGCAGGTTGAGGAATTCCAAGCCTATAAGAGATTGGTTATATTGAGGTCATGTTTGCAAGGTTTCTCTTAATAGTAAAATTTCTGCTATTTTTGTTTCGTGATCTACACTGAAGTCTATGTAACAAATGTTCTTTCAACTGTGCAGATTTTGTTTGTAAGTTGGCTTGCAAAATGCTTTGGAAGGATTATTCTTCTTTCTGATGTTCTGCAGGTCTCTTTCCGAAGGGATTTTTTTTTTTTCTGATTGATCTCTAGGCCACTAGCGTGGTTTTTTGCATCTTACCCTTTTTTCTTCTAATTCCCAGCGGAAGTCTTCCACCAGCTGTCTCAGGCCTTAGCTGTTCTGACAGATGCAGCAGCAAGGGTAAGGATGCCTATTCCTCAGTTATATTGGGACTGTATGGTGTTACTCTGCATGCTGGAGAAGTAGTAGAAACTCTTATCCTGTCTGGCCTGATCTCTTCTCCAGTAGAGCCTTCTGTGAATGCAAGTCTTGTCTGTTATTCCCTGTAGTCTTCCATGAGATGAAATAGCAGGTGCCAGATAAGAGCTTTGATAAATGTTTTTTCTGATCTGATGTGCTGGGAGTAGCTCTGTTTGCACTGTGTGCAAATACTGTCTTTAATAACATGCTCAGTTGGGACCTATCTCGTTTAAAGAATTCAATAACCACCAGTGATTGGTTCAGTTTCTGTGGCAGTGGTGCATTTGTGGTTCCCTTGATATCAAGATGTGACAAGTAAATAGTATCTAGACATGGGATCACTAAGGCTAAGAGCCCTTATCTCAGTGGGGCACAAGAGGCTTTTGAACAGAAAAGCTGAGTCATAGTCGTGATCTCTGTCCTTTTGCTGCACAAGCTTTGCAGGCTGCCAGATGTAGCTCGGGCTTCGTGTAAGGAAGTGGTTGAGTGCCTTCTGCAAATCCTGAAAGTATTACATGTGAAAAGCAGGAATAAAAACAGCATGAAAGCGAGTCAGCATGAGCAAGTAATACCATCCAGATAAACTCAGGAGAGAAGGCATATTAAAATTTCAGATAATTTAAAAGCAAATTTTGGCAGATTGTAAAGGATAATGATATGAGGGATTATGGTAATGGTTTGAACAGATGTCAGTAAAGTTGCTAGTTTACCCCAGTTCTTAAGTCACTAATTGAGTGTTGATGTGCTGTTGCAGCTGAGGAATTCTGGTAGTCTTTGCTCTGATACATTTATGTAAATCAACCATCTGTCTTATCAGCAGATCTTTTATATAAAATGTACCTTTTTCATCATAGAAGTTTGTTCTAAATCAAACTCGATTTGTTTTTGGTGCCTCTAAATTTGCTTTTGACCTGTTCAGGGAAAAAAACCAGAATATTTTTCTCACCTCTATAGGTGGGTGAGATTTTTTTTCTACAGTGAACTTCACAGTTACTCCTAGATTTCTTCACTCTTTCAGGCTCAGTCTGGAGGTCCTTCTCATGTTTTCAGAGTATTTGTGTTAACTCCAACATTTTAAGAGTGCTAGCAAGAAGCAGGAAATGTTTCACCTCTTCTTACAGTGTTTCAGTAGCTGACCTCCCTTCTACTCACAGCTTCACATTTTATCCCTTTTGCTTTACCTAGTTACACTGTTCTGTTGGGTTTTTTTGACAGGTGGCATATGACAAAGTGAGAAAAGCCAAAAAGCAAGCAGCAGAAAGGACACAAAAGCTTGATGAGAAGCGAAAGAAAGTAAAGCTTGGTAATGAAATCAAAACTTCATTTTCTTTGGGCTTGGAGTGTTCATTAGCTGGGTGCTTGTGTTTCTTTGATGCTGGAAGTCACCATGAATTGTTTTGTTGCTGTTCATCTGCTATGGCTTTTTCTTTTTAGTTTTTTTTTTTTTTGATTGCCCATCCAGTACAATGCAGAAGCCATATGAAATCTCCAGTTGTCACAGCTAGCAATGATTCTGCTCTGGCAAGGAATTGGGGCTTTTGATGCCCATTAGGACTGCTAATATATTGCTGTGCTTGCACAGAAGAGCTGTCATGTCTCTACTTTGAGTTTGTTATAGATGTAGCCAAGTTTTGGATCGTTACACCCACCTCTGAACAGCAGTGAAAACTCTTTTTGGTTCGTTTTAATTTTGTTTTTTTCTCTGCAGATCTTGAAGCCAGGGAACGGGAAGCCCGGATCTGTGACAATAAAGAGGAGGAGATCCGGATAACAAGGACCTTAGAACAAGAAGTAACGATCCATTCTTAGATTTGTATGCTGCTTTTGACAATAGCTGCTTAAAGTCTACATTCATAATGCAAACTACATGAGTTGTGGCAACTCCGTGTAGCAGTCCCTCAGCCTTTTGGATTAATGGGCTCTGTGAAAGAGAGGCCTGCATGACAGTCTGGCAAATGTCAGTCCTGCTTTTTGACATAGCAGAAAATAACTAATTGGGTATATGCTGGCTGACAGGGACTGTGTCATTAGGAACAGGAAGAGTCTAAATATTAAATAAGCACTGGAGCTGCCACAGTGGGGCTAATGGAAGGTTTACATTGGAAGATGGGGCTAAGTTAAAAACTGTCTTTGGCAGTCTTCCGCTGGCATGAGTCAAGCATGGAACTGTTCCCATGCTGTCTTACCTTTGCTCTAGATAATACGGTTGCGTGAAGAAGGCTCTCGTCAGCTTGAAGAGCAGCAGAGACTCATTCGAGAACAGATCCAACTTGAAAGACAGCAGCGCATCCAAGGTGAAATAGGTGAGACTGGAGTGCTTAACCACAATGAGTACCCCTGGGTCTCCAACTTCTTTATAGATGGAGCAGGGTTTGCATACAGATGAAGCCTTTTGACTCGGTCATCTTGCCACATATAGGATCCTACTTAGACCTTTGTTGAGAAAAAGATTAGTATTTCTGTGAGGCTTTTTCTTGTATGTGGCAGATTGCTCTTTAGCATATTGTTGTTCCTCTTCAATAAAGATTCTAAAGTTTTGAATGTAGATGGCCTGATGTGGAGCCCCGCAGCTGTGCTGGAAGGAAACCTCAAGTCTTACTTGTCCATCACAATTAAATCAGTCAGTGTTGTACACAAAACAGGGGCTGATTCAAGGTTGCACAAAAAAAAAAAAAAAATTGCCATCAAAGTTACTGACTGTATCCCTTTGAAAATCCTCAGTACCTATCACCAAGAAGAGATGCAGTGAAGACAGTGAAGTTTTGTATGGTGTACAGTTCCAGAGGTTTTACTTACTAGAATTTGGTTCTCATGCTTTTTAGGCATATGTGGTCTTCATCCCAGGTTTGTACAAAGACTGAGGACAAGTCTGTCAGGATGAGCAATGTGTTGTATAGTAACACAAAATTCAGGTGTTTTCCTGTTTAACATCAGCAAGTTATCATGTTTGAGATTATCTCCCTCTAATTCTTGGGGCTGGTCACTAGCCGTAATTAGTCCCCTTCATACATGATCAGATGAGATGCATCTAGAATCCCTCTGGTATTCCTGAATCTCATTCCCATCCACATGTCTCTCTAGAAATTTGCCTTTTCTAACATTCTGCATCTCTGTGGGTTTCAAATGTACAGTTCTATATTTCAGAAAGTTTTATTCTACTTTTCAAAAGAAGATAGCTATTTAGAATTTCAGTTCAACAGAGAAACTTAATGTCTCTTGCTTCCTACTGCGTTCATTCTGGCTGAGAACTTAGGAGGTCTGTGGAACAGGAGCAGATCACTAGTAAGCACTTCACTATTGAGTATTTAGTTGTAAGACCAGATTAAATTCTTAGGCTGTGTCTCAATGTTGAGATTTTTTTTGTCCTCCCTTAGTTTTCCATGCTTGTTCCTACCAGTATAGTCTATTTACAGGGAGAAATGTTACAGGATCTAACAGATTTCCTTCTTGTGGTTTTCTTGTTTAGCAGTTTTCTACCCTTGATCATGGGATGTCTTGGAATCATGGAAGGGAAGGATGCTGACATCCAGTATTTACTTCACACTACAGTTTCTACTGATAACGTCATATAAGGCTTTTGGGGTGCTGAAGTGATGAACTGCAATAAAAATTGAGATATGCACTTACTGTTACCATAAATACATTTGCAGGGCAAATTTTGTGCTAATGCTATTTAGCTGATGAATTTTCACACATTCACCTATATTCTTACATCTTTTTATATATATATTTTTTTTTCCTCTACACTCTTCAGGCAACCAAGTAGGAAATGGAGCAGAAGGCAAAATAACTCCCAAACTCAAAGTAAGTCATCTCTATGAAGATGGCTTTGGCAAAAGACAGAATATTTGCAGGTTTGGAGAACAGAAAGGACTTCTTTGCTGAGCTGGCATGCCCTTTTGTACAGTGGTGGTGAAGATCCTTTATTTAATGCATATCATGCAAGCTAACACCTCCCCATCCTTGTATTTAAAATACACTTCCTCCCCTATTCTTCTCTTACTTTCTCATGTAAACATTTGAGTCTGAAATTGAATCATCTGTGCTTTAGGCACTGAGCAACATCTACTTATTACCCTGGTACAGCCATTAATATACCTTCAGGTACAGTTTTAACTCCCATGAGTCCTTCCTCACAGTTCCCCAAATAATTTGTTCCCTGTGCACACTGATATTGAAGTTATTTTCTTGGCCATTCTGGGACTGTAGTTGTAAATAGAAAACTTCATTGCTCTGCAGGTGGTGTGAGCTGTGTTCAGCATGGCAGCATGTTCAAAAGCACAAAATTAACTTCTCACATTTATTTCCCAGCTAAAATGGAAATGCAGGAAAGAAGATGAGACAGGAGGGGGATATTCAAAGGAAGTTTTACTGCGGATGCTGCAGAAGGTTCTGTCCCATGCTTTTCTGTTCCTTGATGTTCCCCTGCTTTCAGTGCTAAGGGAGGAAAGCCCCATATAAACCAGAGTAGCTCATTTTCTTCTCTTGTTGAGCCCTCTCATTCATGCCATTTTCAGAGATCGTCAACACAATCCATTTGTTGTGAACTGTTTCTGGTTGCCCGTTTGCCTTCTTCCTAGCAGAGATCCCCAGTGAAACAGAGCAACCGCAAACTCTACTCCTGAGTAATTCATGTCCTTTATAAATGTTAGGCTGGCTCTGTGGTTATAATGTGCACTTTTACCTTTACTTAAAGCACTGTATGTTAACTTCTGTGGGGAGTTCAGAGGCAGAAACAGACAAGCCTTTGATAAGATTAGTCCCAGCATATGGTCTTCATTCAGATGAATATCTCCTGTCACTGAGTGAAACAACCCTCTTACCTTGGGATTTGCTGGAAGTGAAGTTTGTAACCATGTGCAGCTTCTGCACTGTTTCCTGGAGGGACAAACTATGACAGATTGGGATCAATGGAAGCATCATGTAAGACAGAAGGGGTGACAGCTCAAGTCTCATGTCTGTAAAGACACGTTTTCCTTGTGGTCATGCCATAGGTGAACTTGACTTTTCTTGTGGGTCTGTAATTAACTTTTCTTTCTCTCTCCTAACAGTATGGCGACGTGCTAAATTTGTTGATCTCCCGTAGGAAGGTTGGAAGTGCAGTTGTGGAATTTGCTACTGTTAAAGCTGCTGTAAGTCTGGTGGAGACCACAGATGCGTGCAGTGGAGAGTGGGCAAGAAGGGGGTGATTCAGAAGGGAAGGGTTAGTTGTCTGACAGCCTAGAAATGCTGCCTTGTTATTAAGGCAGTGGAGAAGGGTAATGAGAGTCTAAAGGTACACACAGATGAAGGGAGTGGCAAAGCTTGAGGCATAAATTCAGAGCAGATCATGCACGTAAACAAGTAGGCTGTGCATGTAAGCTTCTGAGGGAAGAGACACTGCTTTAAAGGGCAGGCACCAAACTATTTAACCAGCTCTCACTGGGGGTGATGGGCTTAATGAATCTTAGGGATTATATCAAGCATTTGCAGTTTAAAAGAATCTAAAATGTCTTAACTCATGATGAGTTATAATAATTCATGTTACTGTGGAAATAAAAGTAATCTGTACAGTAGCTACTGTAATGAAATAAACCTGTGATGTTAGTAGTTCCATCTACTTGAATTTACAAGAGTTTTATTGTTTTTTGTAACCAGTTATTTCACTTAATCTATCCAAGTAATTGCAAAAAAATAATAATAATAATAAAGCAACCAGAAACCCACAACTGTTTGTACTCTGTTTATCAGAAATGCTGGCAGCGATGTTTTACCCATCCTTGGTGCAGAAATGAACCTTGAAGGGTGCTTCTCGTGTAGGGCAGCTGTGAAATCTTCATTGACCTTGATAACAGGCTGAGATAGAAAAACTCCTAGGATTGTGAGCAAGCTATGAGGGAGTGTGACCAAAAATTCGGATGGTGATGATGGAATATTTTCATTGGTAGGAAATGGCTGTGAAGAATGAAGTTGGCCTGACAGATAATCCTCTAAAGATTTCCTGGCTGGAAGGCCAGCCCCAGAGCAATCCCAGCTGTGTCCTTTCTGACAGCAGTGGTCGGCCTAGGACTTCACAGGTAAGAATATATGCAGCTGTTACTTAAATCTGTTTCTATAGCAACCTAAACTTAGGCGTGCTTTGCATATATGGTAGGATGCATTGATCCCTAGAGAAACAAGAAAATAAACTGATAGAGAGATGACTGGCTTCTTGATGAAACTTTTTATGCTTAGGCAGTGACTTTTTTTTTGTTTGTTTGTTTTTTAAAAGGACTTTCTGTCCTTGGTACAAGCTACTTGAACAACTGGATGTTTGCACAACATCCCCCTCTTAAAAGTGAAAACTAAGGATGCTCCTTGCTCAACACAAAACCTCTAATTCCATTCTTCTGTGATTTTAGTCTAGTGTACTTCAACTGTGAAATCCTTTGGCAGGTAGTTCACTGAAAGAGGTATGGAACCTTTAGAGAGGTTTAGTTACTGCATTCACAAGAGGGTGAAATTTCAATGCTAAAAGCAAACCTATGTTATTAGGGTCTGCAGGAGGAAAACTAAAATAGTGTCAAATATTCTTTTAAAGAGCTCTTTTCTGTTTTGGTTCTTCTTTACTAGTGTTGGTACAGCTTGGTAGACACTTCAAGTGCAAAGTATTTGCCAACTTCTTGGTTATTCCGCTGGATGTTCAATGTGAAGCTGCTGATGAGAATTTTGCGTTTTATCTCTTTTGTGATTGAAATACAATATGTAGTGGCTAAAACATAGAAAATGTCTCCTCTAATGTGCCATGCTGCATGAAATTGTTGGCCATCAGTTACCTTGTACTCCTATCACCTGTTTGGAGTGGGAATTGTATCCACTTCTTTTGGAGCAGAACTATTCTGTGTTATAAAGCAACGTGTAGTATATCTCGTGCTCTGCCTGTGTTCTGATCTGGGTAGTTGCTTCTTTTCTGAGAGAAAATGTGAAGGGGCCTGAGATCCTCTGGCTATTTGAATTCCTATTCAAGTTTCATGTGACACTTCCTCTCTTCTCCTTCACTGCCTCATGCTGTACATGGCTCAGACCATGCATTTACAACCAAAATACTGTAGCAGTTTGTAAGATTGTTTAATATTTTTTCTCCTGACTTCTCAAGTACTGTATTCACATGTCAGAATGCCTTGCTGCTATCCTAGTTCTGCTTTTTGTTCTGTGTTCTATTTTGAACAGCATGGCCCTGAGCAGCATCACTTCTCAGACATTTCAAGCAATGGCAGTTTGATGATCATAGCCCATAGCCAAGCAGGTCTCCATGCATGATGAGTCCTGCAGGCAGAGCAGATTCAGAAAGGTAGCCAAAATGCTTTGGAGAAAAGCAGGATTCAGTTGAGTGTATTTGAGTATCCCTCACTAGCAGAGAACTAGAACTGGCTCTGGAGAGCTCATTCACTCCTAAGAGGAGGAGAGGGGAGCCACTAGTGCAGAGGCTGGTAGTGTATTTTTACCTGTGCATTTTCAAGTATTGAAGACTTACTGTTTGATTGATCTCGGCTTGTTTCCATGATGAAAGCTTGTTAATTTGAAACTGCAGTGTCCGCCTGCTGTGAAGGATTAGATGGTGGAGCAGCAGTAAGGGAGGACAGGCTAAAGCAGCAAATAGAGTTCATGCTGTGTGGAGCTGGTTACTCTGTTCGGTCCAGCATAGCTTCATCATTACATTGTTTGTTCTCTAAATGATGAGTTCTGGACAGTGATTTGCAACCTTTTCCAAGAGCTACGCTTCTAATGCTTGTGTTCTTTCTACTGCTTTTATGTGTAAGCAGCAGTGACTTCTTTAATTACATTGTTGTCTTGCTGTCTAGGGTAAGATACCCAAGCTGCTCCGGTTTGTTTTATTATTTGCTTCATTAGGCTTTCCCAAAGTCCTGCTGCTTCTGCGTGGGTGTTTCCAGAATGTTCAACTTGGTAATCCCTTCTCTTGACCTTACTGTTTCTAGCTGTCATAGCTGTCTTTGTTCTCAGCTCCTCAGTTCCAGTCTTCCAAATGACATTTTTCAGTTATCAGTTGACATTGCCCCAGTCTACTACCTACCTTATCTCTTTCATACACAGTCTGGTTTTCCATCCATCAGGGGCTACGTTCTTTCTTTCAGGCTCATTCTGATTTTAAGCTGCCCTCGCTTCCTCTTTGCTGTCTCTGGGCAGCTCCTATTTTTGTCCGATTCCACCTTCTGTTTGTTCCCACTCTGTGCAAATGCAGCTCCTTCCCTGCTCTGCTTCAGGAGACAGCTGAAGAGCTGCACTGTTCTCATGGCAACACGCTCACTACTCATCCTGTCTGTGTTCCATGCGTGGGGTTGGCAGCCAGGAGCTGTGCACCAAAGACCACAAATAATGGAGACCCACGGACAGGCTACACCAGGACACCTTTGGAAGCAGTTCCTAGGAGAAATCAGGGCTGACTGCTGAAACATCACGCTGTGAGGAGGCAGTGAGTTGCAAATTGCATACCTACACAGTTTTTGCTGACCTGTTTCATCCCACGGCAAAGGATGAGTGTTGTCCTTCCTAGACAACAGGAGGGTTAAGCTTTACAAATTAGAAAACTACAAAAGCTGTGGTTTGACCACTGTTACTTTAGGATACTTGAGAGCAACAACTATTTGATTGCTGCAGCTCTGATTGGTACAAAGCACACAGACTGTGTAGTGCTGTGAGAACTATTGTGTACACTAATTTTATATTGTTTTGTCACTACAACAGCATAAAGTGCTTGCTCATGGGAAAGTCATCATTGCACCTGGTGGTGTCACCCTACGTGCTCCCATTCACTTTTGACCATCCATTCAGCCATAGTAAAGTGCTGAGAAAAGCTTTCTGTCAGATATCCTGTTGCAATCTTTTCTAACCTTTGAGGCTTCAGCAAATGTGATTCATATTATCTGACTTCACCAGATTCACATCAGGTTGTTGGCTGAGTTCTATGCCTTCTCTGGGATTGCACTTCGCTGTTTCCAAAGCTCATGTTTGTCTGGGTCCATGGGATTTTTGTGGGTTTTTTGTTTTTAGAAGAGCATTAGTTTCTTATCTAGCTATGAAAACAAGATAAGGCATTGATGACCCAGTAGGTTGTGCACTGTCTTTTCAGCATGGTAGTGCCTAAGTTGTACTCAGCCTGGCAGAGCATTTTCCACCTCACAGAATGAAGAATTGTGTTCCTTTCTACACTGGATGTTGGTCCTGATTTCTCTGCTGCACTCTCCTTCTCAAGGGAAAGTGGGTATGAGTAGCTCTAGCCTTTTCCCAACCCAGAAAAACAGAGCTGCTTTTCCCACCTTCACGTATGCCTCAGGTGGCAGAGAGGGTTGATCGTGATCACTACAGATAAGAAACCTATGCTCCTGCTACCTGGCCTTTGTTGTTTTGGCTCACTACCAATGAAATGAGGCAACAAGGCACTTCCAATCACAGAAACATTTATTCTTCCGTGTCTGTACAGCTGATAGGTCAGTGCATGCTTCAAGCAGCAGTATCTAGAGAAATTTCTTCTGCTAGTAGACTAAATAAATTGCTGTTTCTGTATTATGAGCTTATATAGATGGTTACCTGTTTGCAGGCTACAAGTACCAACTGCATTTGAATTAGGGGGAAAAAAAAAGAAAAACTCACATAAAAAGAAATAAAGGGAGAAGAACAACTTTGATTTTTTTCACATCCAAACATGTTGGGAGCAGAAACCATCAGTTTCTGTCTCTTGACCCTTGCCATAGCTATGGTTTTGAGATAGTAACACTGTCTCCTTACAAGCTGCCTGCTTATCCACAAATTATGTATGCTATACCCCTTTCTGTCCAAACTCTGCAGTGTCACAGCCACATCCCCAAAACAAGTCTTCAGTTAAACAATACCAGTCTTCAGTGAGGAGGAGGTGTATAGTCAAGGGTGAGAATTTCCCATTATGGAGAGTGGAAACTTGCACACAAGGTTCCAGAAGACAGGGCTCTCATCTAGGCATGGAGCCTGTCAGCTCTGCTCTGAAGGACTTCTTGATGAGGACAAAAGCAGCCTGTTATGGGTAAGGCAACAACAATAAAACAGACCACGCGCAACAGGGGTGCTGCAGTATCCTTCTTCCTGTTAGGACTAGAGAAACTGGCACCAGCAGCAGGTAAATCTGATACATTAAGTCATAAATACCTTCAAATGCTATAATCTCTTGGATTCTGTTTCCTGAGGGTCTGCAGAACATCCTCGAGAAGTGATAGCCCCAAGTCCACTTTGAAGGACAGGAAAGGATCAGACAGGTCACAAAGAGTGGTGCTGTTCTGGGAGCCAGTCTCTGAGGTCATGCAGTCTGTAGCCTGGTCCTTGTGGAACTGAGTTTGAGTGGCTTTGTTGTATTGATGAGAAGCACTAGAAAAGGAGACATCAGAGTGAGAATCCGTGTGATCAATGATGTTAGGGCAGCTAGAGCTGTCCAGGTACAGCCGGGGTGGCTTAGGAGGTGCTTGTGCCTTGGCCAGGTTTTGCTCACTCTGACAAGACAGGTAATCAGACTTGTCCTTCAGATCCCTCAAGCATTCCCTCTTCTGGCACTGTCCATCACTGTCCAGTGTGTGGCTGTTCTTGTTCAGGATAATGACCTGGTTGCCCAGCTTTTTGTGTCTCCTGAGTGAGAAACGTCTGAAGAATGTTGTGGACTTAATGGATCCTCTCCGCCAAGTATCCATTCTGATAAAAAGCAAAGAGAAAACTGCTGACTCTTCACAGTCAAGTGGTGAACTTCTGTCACAGGCTCAGCAGCAAGTCACACAACAGGAACAACTTCTTCTTTCCCTTTTCCTATAGCTGGAAGGAAAACAGAGACGCTGGTATTGCAGGAAATGCAAACTTCACACTGTATCTCTGTATTAAGGAGCAGTTGACCTGTCTGGTATATTAGGGAGTCTCGTTCAGTGGAGAAGGAATGGTGATGTCTGAGCTTGTTAAATCTATGCCACAGAAACAAGCTGATGAAAAATAGCAAAGGCACACAGTCACCATGAGAACAGATTTAATCTAGCATCTAGAACAGAAGGGCACTTTGATACCATGGTAACCAGCCACCTTCATGATGAAGGGCACAGTATAAAAATCTCAGTGGGTGGTTAGGAAGGGAGCCGGTGACTCAGTAACACTGAAGAAAACTAAAGAAATAGTCAAAGGTAAATTTAAAAAAAAAAAAGAAAACAAAACAGCGATGTAGAAGATGAGCATTAGGAAAATGGAATGCAAAATAGACTTACGGTATGTCGGAGCTGCACCTGAGTCCAACAGGCAGAGAGGAGAAACTGCTGACGTACTGAGAGAATGGTGACCACCACGCTCTGAGATTCTGGAAGAAGAAAGTCCAGGGGCAATTCAGCCAGGTGGGACCTAGAGCAATAAAAATCTACAATGCCGCCTTCTCTTCATGTGCCTCTTGTCACTGCTTCCCAGGCTGCAGTTCCTTGTGCATATGTATTTGTTTTGAGCCAAGCCCTTGCTGAGTCAGCCACGTCAGAAACTGGGTTTTACACAATTGGTAATTGCCAGGATTGCAGGAAGTAGGTGTAAAGTGGCAAAGCATCAGCCCACACTCTGCCTGAGGAGAAAGCAAGCTCGCTCAGAGACAGGCACCCAGACTGCTTGAGAACTGTCAATATGAATGTCAACTTGGAGCCCATCTTGAATCAGACTGCTTCTTCTCTACTGCCACTTCTAATGGCTTGTTTTATCAGCAAGACTCCCATACAAGGCAGAAAATAATCTCTTGTCTGTTTTAAATTTAAATCCAGAGCATGAGGTAGTGATTCAGGTTTGTATGGGTGACTCATTTGCATGAGTCTCATGTAGCCTATTTCATTCAGCCAGGCAGATGACAGTAAATATCTGTGGTTAGTGGACAGGAACTTTGAAGAAACCTTGTTCTGCCACTGAAGGCTGATACAATCTGTTGCTTTCTCAGACACTGTGAAAATCTGTGCTGTACAGTACTGAAAGATTATTTCATTCATGCAGTTCCAAAGATACCAATTACAGCATATTAGTTTCTTTAATTCCCCACTCTAAGTTTCTCATCTACTGTGGGCTTCTTTTTTGTACTCACAGCTAGGTACTCTGCAGCTGGAGTAACTACTTTCCTTGCTCCATTTTCCTGCAGAACTTTTGCCAGTCTACTGTCTTTTTATCCCTTCTAGTTTCTATTCAAGATATCCTTTAAATCATCACTAAATTTAGTTCCTAGAAAAATGAATTTGAGGGTTTTTTTTGTTTGTTTGTTTGTTGTTCACTTTTTATCAAGATGCTCGTATTTCTGGCTAAACTATCAAGCAAATGAGATGGATGTTTCCAAGCACTGTGGCACTTCGAATACACCTGAAATCAGTAAGGCCGCTTACTAATATGAAATGACTTTGGAAAGGAGAATGGCAAAGCTACAATTTTGCTCTGAGATACCAGCTGTCATTTGCTGCCTACATTTATTAAGTAGTATGCAATCACCTCGTAGCTGACATGACAGTTACTACCACACACTGCAGAAAGGCTCCAAGAGCTTTTGGGAACTGAAACTCTTGTGCTAGGTTTGGGAACATACCTGGTTTTCTTCTGTGCAGCTCCTTCCATAACTAAGTCACAAAGGTTTGGTTTTTATGGCGTTAGCCTTTATTATGAATGAAGTGTGTGCTGGACTTTGGGCATCAATGTTTTACTTGCAGAGGAAGCTTGTCATCCAGAATAACCAACCACAACAAGGCAAGCCATGCTTCCCCATCTGTCCTCACTGTGAGAAGCAAGAGGTTATTTCAGACACCCTGATGGTTCCATTCTTTGTCTCAGGACTAGCACTGTCAGGGGTCAGCACTGTTTCCTATGAAGCCACTTGCTTTCTGTAGGCAGTTTTCCCACCTTACCCAATTTCCCTGGTGTCATAGTCCACTGAGCTGCATTCCTGACTCAAATGTGTGTTGTTGTGAGTGTGACTTTGGAAAGGAGAATGGCAAAGCTACCATTTTGCTCTGAGATACCAGCTGTCATTTGCTGCCTACATTAGAAGGGGACTGTGGGGAGTCAGTGACTTCACAATGTGCACTATCCTTGACATGTTGCAGTTGTTTTCTGCTCCTAGGCATCTGTGGTCTCCGAGCGGGATTATGAGAGCCTGGTGATGATGCGGATGCGCCAGGCAGCAGAGAGGCAGCAGCTGATTGCACAGCTCAAGCAGGAAGATGAGGAAGTCTCACACCTAGCTTGAAAGTATGGATTCTCCCCACCCCATCGTTCTTCATTTCCAAAGCTGTTTCTTAACTAAGGCAATAAAACTCCTTTTTTTAAAAACTATTGTATGTGCCTGCAGCACTTTTCAGAGAACGGGAAAAGATGACTGTATAAGCTTCAGTGTTACCCTGTTAGCCTCTGTGCTCAGCATAGCTGTCTGATCAGAATTCAGGATTTGAGAGGTACTGTGAGAACAAAAACCAAACTTCTAAAAAAGTGTCATAATTCCTGAAAGCTTGTTTAGGAACTATGGATCGAGAAGTCTTTGGCACCAACTGATCAGAATAACCCACACAAAGATATCAGTCTCTCTAGCGAAATGTTTTATTGGTGTTACCTCTACATCAGGATTGATACACAGTCCCAAACCATGCAGCATTGCAACTGTTGCCATTAACTTTATGTAGCCCATAATTGAAATGTTTACAAGACCTGTTTGCGTTGATCTAGGGCTACTTTGGGAATCAATGTGTTATGTTCAAATGGAACTCGAGACAGCAGCATCAGGCTTTCAAACCATGGCCCTGATTGGGAGGGAAGCTGGTCTTGCTGCGCATGAAGAGATTCTCCAAGAGCACTGTGTAGGTTAGGCAGTTTTTACTTTCATTTTGGAGATGAGATAGTGCACCTACCACTCTTAACCTCCATACATCCCCTCCAAGATCTGGAAGGAGGTTTATTCTGAATTCACAGTTCAGCACATGCCCATTGAGACAGCCCTGAGGAACAGACAGCAAGGCTGTGATTTGAGGTCCTTTCAGTGCACGCTAAATAGATTATTAAATTGCAGAAAGATGGTATTTACCAGACTGCATTCAATGAATGTGGAGTTAGAGCCATCTGTTTTATGTGCATGATATAATCTGGACTGAGCATACCTTCCTCACCCCAAGGTCTTAGGAAATGGCAGGGATGCTGAGTTTCCATTAGGTGAACCCTTGCTTCTGCACTGCTCCTCCCCTGACGCCTGAGTGCCTGGAGTCTGGGACAGAAAAGAATTACTCAAGGGGAAAAGTTTGCTGTCAGTCCGGTGTGAGATGATCCCCTCAGCAGGGCCTTGCTGAGGTGGAATGCAGAAATCTTCTTTGTTATTCCTTGTGGAGGCACCACACCAGCGTCTGGCCCACACCCGTCATGCTCACCACCCGGTAACCACAGGTCTCCAGCTTGTTAAGGACTATCCTTGGTGCATCATTCACATAGTACTCCCAGCTGCAAGTGGGAAAAAGAGGAAAGCAGGGATGAAAAAGGATACAAAAATTTCCTTGTGGAACTGGGTCTGCCTCGCTAATTAACTGGTACAAAACACTGCATGGGCACATCTGGCATATTGCCTGTGTGATGCAACACCTTGGTTAACCAGATGGGGAAGACCAAAATCCACAGCTTCCAAACCAAGGAGAAAGCTGCTCAGAATGGAATTTGATCTTAAATTGGAGTGTGGTTTGGGGACTGGTTATCCAAAGCCACATGCTGCTTACTTAGCTGAGCTTAAACCACAGCTACGGGAATCATATCTCAGAATTCATGGAAAAAGAGAATGGTCTCTGCAAAGCAGGGAAAAAATGTAGGACAGCAGATTTACAGTGTTGTAACAGCAAGATCTTTTTTTCTTTGTTGTTCCCGTGTTCCTGCAGCTTGCAGGCCTGGTAACTCCCTGTTATCAGACCCTGTTTGCTGTTGCTTTCAGCAGACCTCAATTTACATGGCTGGACTATTCTGGAAACTTTTTACAGAACAACTAATCTGTTTTAAAGGTGTAAAATACCAATGTTCTGCTTTGCTCTTACCATAAAGAATAGCACAACACAGGCATAAAACTATCTGAATTAGGTTAGGAAGTGGCAGAACTGAAATGGCAAGTCTGTCCTTTAATGCTGAATTTGGCAGCCTTTCTGTTCCTTTAACACAGTTGTTTGGGCTGCAGTATTTATTCAAGCAGATGGGATAAGTTTCATAATTGTGTAACTCTTAGATGACTCACCGTGCCTGATAAGCTGATAATGACGGGCTGCGGGATGGTTGATGATCTCGGTTGGGCATCCTAACAAAGACTACCCTGACTTTTGTGCTAATAATAAAAAAAGACCCAAAAGCATTTCCAAAGTTGCTAACATTGCAAAACGTTTATAGTGGTGAGCATTTTTAAAGCATAAAATGTCACTCAGATGTGAAGGTATTTTTCCAGCTTCTCAAGACAGAGTATGCAATAATTATAGATGTGATATAAAGATAATGTCTATTATTATAGTGACTTTGAACTTAATGCTTTCTCTAAGAGGCTTGCCACCTTCAGATTTGCATGTTGGAGATGGTAAATATTATTGCCATTATGCAGAGGAAGTAGCTGAGGCAGGGGTTGTTATTTGTAGGAACCTAAACTGGAGTGACTGAGCTGAAAGCAGAAGGCAAGCTAAGTGGCCTAGGGCCTTAAATACAACTCCACACTGAGCAAAACAAAACATCTTGCACGATGCTATTAAGTGTGCCACCCTCTTCACAAGCGAGCAGTCTGAATCAGGGTGGGGACATTTGTAAAGTCTTTCAGCCTGAAGCCAGTAGGGGACAGAGGTCAGCCTAGAGAGGAGAGGAATTCTTCACATGCCCATTGTAAGTACATGAGCCTTTGGCTCCCAGGTATGCCAAAGGTAGGTGAGTGAGCACATGCTGTGTGTGGGAGTGGGGCTACAGCAAGAGCATCCTAATGCAGTGACTTTTAGTCTGATTTTAGATGGTTTGCTATTTAAAAGTAGAAGCATTGATTGATAGCCTTTATTATGACAGGAGGTGGAGGGGACATTGTCCAGCATCTACTCAGAATCCCATTTTGCAGTAGCCCAGGGTTGGCTTTGCAACCCAAATGTCCAAGCGTTCTTCCCCTGCACATTAAATAAGGGATGGAGATAAGGGATGGAGGATGCGTGCTGGCAATTGATGGTGCTTAATGATGTGCCATTTGCACAGCTGCTTAACAGAATCCTTTATTAGAGGCAATTACGTGTTTTATGTATATTAAAATGCTACAACAGATCCATACTGCCTAGACTCTTTCAGGCTCCCTCAGAGCTCCTTAGGTCGTGTTTAAGGCTTTGGATCTCAAGACGCTGTGGAAAGGGTGAGATTTGTGTCATCATGTGGCAGTGGGACAGAAAACCCTGCTCGACCATGGTGCTCTCCTCCCCAGCAGGGTTTTTTGGCAGAAGGTGAATGGAACTTGCCTTGCTGGCATACCACTGTGCCTCTCAGGGTGTCAGTATTCCAGCCACATTGTTTCCTCCGCCCTGTGTTGCTCAAGAGCAAACAGGGAAGACATGCTTGAAAATGTCTATCAGGCCACAAGCAGGCACAAGTAAAAATAGAAGGATCCCCCAAGGAAGCAAAATCTGCCACTCTACTTCCTTATTACCCTGTAATGGCCTTAAAAGGACTTTCAGGCTAGACATTAGGAAAAATTTCTTCTCAGAAGAAGCGGGGATGTATTAAATGGGTTGCTCAGGGTAGCGGTGGAGTCACCATCTCTGGAAGTGTTCCAGAACCATGGAGATGTGGCACTGAAAGACGTGGTCAGTGGGCATGCTGGGGATGGTTTGGGGTTGGACTTCATCATCTCAGAGGTCGTTTCCAACCTTAATGATTCTGTAATTCTATGAACTCCTCCCTGGCTGCTTGAGCATGCAGCATGGAGGCATTCCACCTTCCTTCCATTTTTGTTCCACTCAAATCCTGGAGATTCACCCCTATCAGAGCCAGCAGAACTTCATCCTCCTTGAAGCCTCTCCTGGTTTTCTCCTCAGGTCTCTTCTCCCATTGCATAACTCCCAGGCTCAGCTCCAAAGGCAGCAGCACGAAGCTGGCACTGCTGCCAATTTCTGTGCCACCCACAGGCTTGGGAATAGCAGTGCAGAGACGGCTCTGCAAGCCCGTCTGAGCCCTGCTGATGGAAAGGAGTAATGGAAGAGGCCAAGTTCCTGCCCAAGCAGATGGCCCAAGTTTGCATTTGGAGAGTTTCTTGAAAATCAAGGTACTTCCATTTTTCCTGTTCTTTGAACTCCTAAGTTTTGTAAAGCAATGGAGGAGCTGGGTCTCGATGCCTGCCAGCCCAGTGCTGAGGACATGGGTCTTTCCAGCTCCACTGATGGAAGTCTGAATATGCTGGGACCAAGGAAACGCCTGGTTTTCCTCCCACTCCTCCTCTGCGCTGCCTCATGAGTGGGCAAGCATGAGCAGAAATCCAACTGCTGCCCTCTGCTTTAACTTGATTTGCATTTAGGTGTTTTGTTTTGCTGTGTGGTTTTTTTTTGTTTGTTTGTTTTTTTGTTTGTTTGTTTTTTGTTTTTTGTTTTGTTTTTTTGGTTGTTGTTGTTATTATTTTTGAATCTTAGAGAAAAACAAGAAGTCAAGATACCAAATGGGGGGAGGGGTTGGGATGTGTGCCAAGATGTAAAGAACAGGATGGCAGCATTTCTAAGCTGCACCCTTGATTTCAAACTCAGCATAGGCAGGTAGAGACACAGCATCAGATGTGTTGGAAATACACAGCCTAATGGGCTGGGAACACAAAGCAGCTCAAAGCCTGAAGACTCAGCAGCCCAAGGGAAGGCTTCAGGGAGGGATGCTGAGGGGAGAAAGGGAGAAAGCTCAATCTGGGATGGGTTAGAACAGGCTGTGGGAGAGTACCTAATGTGGATTGGCACTAAACCTGGCCAGAGCCAGGCTGAGAGGAGAAGGATGGGCACCATTTGCTTCTGAGCACCTTGGGGCTGGAAGTGATGCCAAAACAGAAAAGGTGTGTCACTGAGGATGGGATAAAGGCAGATTGTTATGCAAAAAAGTTTAAATGCCTGATGCATCTGTTTTATTTCAGCCTGGCTAGATAGCACCCAAAAGCATCCCAAGAATGCGAGATGTGAGGATAAGAAAGGGTTATGGTTAGAAAATAACAGAAAACTGCTTGAAATATTAGGAAAATATCCTTGGCTAAGCACTGACAGGTGGGGGCAAGGACAGGCACATGCCCCTCCAGCAGCAAACCAGTCCTGGGTTTAGAAGTAGGTGTGCCAGGG